AAGATTCTTCGTTAAATGAATAATAAAACATAACTCACATAAAGGTGTGGTTGCACTTAAACTGCACAATCCATTTACATCATTCAACAATTTAAAATGCCACATATTTCAGAAATAAGATCAATGTTCAAAAAAATCACTCAATGCAATGGCAAACTAGACTAAATTTGGTCAATCCTATTTACTCTTAAGGTCCCAATCAACAAGGCGGTAACTCTGAGCAACAATAGAAACCAACCAAGAACAGAGATGCTAGAAGCGCACCTGAAGAAAATACATGTGCAAAGGGCCGAAAATTTTCAACTGTACTAGAAACAATGTCAGAAAAAACATGCACAATCCAAAGAGCAACTTAAAAAGTAGCATCATGATTAGAAGCCGTGAGACAAGATAATAAAAATGGATGTGATATCAGAATGACCTCAAATAACAATCCTCTATGATGGTCCTCCATCAAATGACACATCAAAGTACATAAGTGGATTCCTTTTCTTCATTGAACAAGTTATAAATCTGCAAGAGCAAAAGGATACTGATACATATCAAATTGAATACTCTAAGCAAAAGGGAGAAATGGTTTTAACTTGATTAGGAAAAACTCCAGCATGTAATGAACTCATAAGTCATAAGAGCATGTGATAATCATAAGAGCCTATTTATATCATTATATACATATATATCAAGTTTTAGGAAACACTTCCTTGTTTGTACTTGTAGTTTAAGTTTGCTGGTGCACGGTTGCTTTATGATCCTGCTACTTTTTCTCATCTTAAGTGAATTTAAGTCTCAAGGCTCTGTTTGGATAGAACTATTTCAAAAGTCCATATAATAAAAATTGGTCTAATCTGCAAATTCATCTAAAGGATATACACACCATATATTATATATCTAATTATGAAAAGAGATGGATACTATGTTATAAGTTCCGATTAATCAAATTCCCCATTAAAGAGGGCTTAATAATCTTTTTTTTTTGAAAATTGAAACCACCGGACAATACCTTATATCTCACAAGTGACCTATGGCGGCAGGTCCTCATATCTTGCTTGGGACACCACCACAGTCCACTACTTGAGTACCGGCAGCCTTAACAAGAGTGTGGCGGCGGTGAAAATATTTATACAAAGACGATTTGCCCTAGCCGGAGAAAGAAATGTGAGGAAGAAGGCATAAGAGTGAGAGAGGAGCTTTCTGCGTGATCCATGAACAGACAGATGGAGGATAAATGAGGAAAATAAAATTAAAATTCCACACACTTAACACATGTGAAATTGAAACCGGAAACTCGGAAACAACCGGCTAGTAATGCCAATTGACTTTTTTCCATGAGTTGAAGGGTTCAATTGAGTGCTTTCTAAGTATGAGAGCTTAATCGACGGATTCGATATAGTAGGAGGACATATTTTATAGTTTTCCCTCATATCTTTCATAGAGCACTGGCGGTGTGTGGGTCCCAACAAAACCAATGTACACAACAGTCAGAAAGTTGCACCAGCTTCCAATGATAGCAGCTGCCATCAAGCTTGTCACAATAACTAGGAAGTGCTTGGGAGTTCCACCACATGCGACGTTTTGAAGGAAGCCCAAACCATGGTTGACTTCAGCCCCTATGGTCTTTGCTATGCCGACAAACACTTCTTCTGGCAAAACAATACGCGGAACTTGTGATGGAGACCTGGTCACCAGGCCTGAAGTATGAGTCCAGAGAAACTGTATAAACATTCCTAGAATCAAAGCAAAGCAAACAAATGTAAGGAGGTGATAGTCAAGCCATTCAATCAACATCCACATAATTGTGGCAGAAACCAAAACACTGGCTCAGATTTTCTTGTTCCCCCATAGTAGCACATCAGCCGATTTGCCTCCCCCAAGAACATGGTGTACAGGCTTCTGGCGCCCAAACAGCCTATCAATTTATCATTGACAGCTCTTGATTTGTCCTCTTCAAAGAATGCACCAGATCTTGGCTTTGGTACACTATCTGAAATTGTTTCCATGATGTTGTTTAACAGTTTCTCGGCCGTTATTCCTTCTGGCATTTTTCCCAGGAAACAAAGGCAATGATTGCAAGCAAGCGAGAAGGTAAAGCAGAGAGGGTGGGAAGAAGGAAGATTAGGTATTGGAGGAGGGTGTTCGAGCTTAATAGTCTATAAAAAGAATCTGAAATTGAAAAACGATTATGCGAGTCACAAAGCAAAATTCTATGGTTCGAAACAAATGAGGAAAGAAGGTTAAAACATACTGGTAATCGCAGCAGAGGAATAGGTCATTTCTCGAGCCGCTCGAAGTCTATCCAAACTGCTCTTCCGTCTTCTTTCCGTCGCGAACTGCTCTTCCGTCTTCTTTCCGTCGTTGAACTGCTCTTCCGTCTTCTTTCCGCCGCGAACTCGCCGTCCGTATTGAACTCCAGCCGTCGCGATTCTGCCGTCTGTATTGAACTCCTGCCGCTCGCCGTCTCTCTGTCTTCTTTCCTTCGCGTCGCTCTAGGTCTGGGCTAAAATCAGGCGCTATCAAAGCCGGGAACCAAAGACGTTTAGGATCGATTCCTTGTTCCCCAAAGGGTGCTTCATTTCTTCCGCATCGGTTGGTTTTAACCAATATAAAATAAAGTTTCGATAATTATGAAAATTACCCCGTTTTTCTTTTCACATCGGTTCCAAATATAACCGACTTAGAATATTTTGTAAAATTTTAAAAAGTACCCCGATTTGCTATTTAACATGGGTTATAACAACAACCCATCTAAAAAAGTTTACAAAATTATAAAAATGACCCTGTGTTAGTATTCTACATGGGTTTTAAAATAACACATGTAGATAAGGTGATGTAAAAAGACTTTTTTGTACTAGTGTATTTTATCAATGAAATGACGGGAAAAAGCAAAGTAAAAAACACGTTAGTCATGTCTATTTATCAGTAAATATTTTATCAGTAAACATATATTGTTAAAAGAGATTTTGAAACAAAAAAAATACAAAAATACAAAATAAAAATAACAAATTTACACGGATATATGACCATATGACACAAAAAGTATAGTACTAGTATATTAAAGCTTTTATTATATTTATAATACTAGTATGAAACATATTTATTAGTACAGCCAGCCAATCTAGCGCGAGATGCGTGAGTCCCGAAGTCAAAGTCCATTTAGTATTCGTACAGCGTGGAACTAATTGTAAAGATAGGGGTGGTTGGCCGGGATTAATTGGGCTGCCCCTTCTGTGCTGGACCTATCCATACTTGCAAGTCAATATGAATATATGATGCTTCCCTTCTATTACGTACTACGTACGTATTTATGAATTCATAAATTATATGATTCAAATATATTCTCCGTATTACGTACTAAAAACTCCAATAACATTTCTAAAAAACTACTCCAACAACATACGGGTTTCCGACCCCGAAGTTTAACATTAGTACTTAAAGATAAAAGGGAAAACTGTCAGATAAGTCCTTCTACTTTGTACGGAAAGTCAATTAAGCCCCTCTACTCTAAATTCGTTCATTTCAGTCCACGAAGTCTAAAAAAACAACCAATTAGGCCGTTTGGAAGGTTACCAACCGGTAACCCCGTTCACTGCTTATGTGGCAGCCTAAGTGGCAGTTTTTTAGTTGGCTGAGTAAGTTGACATGTCAAATATATTTAAAGATTCAATGGGAGTATATTAAAAAATAAAAAACTAAACCCTAAAGGACGAAGTTCTACTCTGGGTCGTAACAGTCGTCGTCATCCGAGTCTTCTTCCTCCCTGGGTCGTAACAGTCGTCGTCTTCGAACGAAAGCAGATGGCATCATCATCCGCATCTACTGCCACTAAAGGACGAAGTTCTACTCTTTTGTATGAACCGCCTGTGTATTGCCTTTGTGGATTGAAATCCCCCTTGTGTGTTGTACGCGAAACAGGGAGAAGTTTTTATGGTTGTCAAAAATGGAAGGTAATTCTTTCGCCATTGTATTCATTCTTTCGCCATTGTAAGCGAAACAGGGAGAAGTATTAATTCTTCGAATTCGGTTTTTAAAAAGATGGGAGTGTTAAAGTTTTTGTTTGTTGTTAAATTTTGAGGGTAAACAATTCCCCCATTGTCAATTTAATGTTCCCTTTAATGTTTGAACATCCCTGACATTCCATTCCAGGTTAACATGGGATGTGGATTTTTCTTGTGGAAGGATGATGTAGAGATAAGAGGCACACATCATGGAGAAGAGATGAAGACAAAAGCAGACAATGTGAGGTTCATGACTACTGCAATGGTTGAACAAAGGGCTGTACAAGGACAGATTGCTTATCTTACAAAGCTACTTGAAAATGAAGCCAAGGAAAACAAAAAATTTAGGCAATCAGTTGCTTTTGTTTTCATTGTTGTAGTTGCTTTTGTTGGTATGTTGTATATGCACTTCAACACAAAAAATGCATATATTAGTGGTTGTAGTAGTGTGTTGTAATCTGGTGTGTTGTAATCTGGTGTGTTGTAATGCAAATTTAGGAAATCAGTTGCTTTTGTTTTCATTTGGTCTGTAATGACAGTTTTTCATTGCTAATGTAGTACTTATTGATGACCATTTAGCACTTTCCATTGTTAATATAGTAAAACTTTTCATCCTTTGTTGACTTTTGGTACAATTTAATGGGCTGAATTGAAGATGAATTAAACATTAAACGGATCCCAACATTAAATATATATGTACCTGTTATAGTAAAAAACAGCTTCATAGTAAAGGTGAATGGGTTGAATTGAACATGATTGTACATCCAAAAACCAACACTGATTTGAGAACTTAAAAGCATGAGTTCTGGCCCACATATACCATACGTACAAGCAACTTTATAGCCAATATTCACCCCAAAAAGCTCACAAAGTTGAGCCAAACATACTGCCAACAACATGTTCAAGCCAAACTACCACCACACATTACTTATCCAACAAAACAACTAAGTCTTTACATCCCATTACATAAAAGCCATCAAGCAAAACAAAAAGTCTTTACATCTTCATCACCCATCCAGCAAAAAAACCAGAAGACTTTCCATCCTGCAACCTTCATTTGCCCTTTATCTTCATCATCCATTCAGTACTGTTTCACTTGGCTGCCCAGGCTGAAATGAGGTAACACCACATTTGAATATACAAATTTACAACAAATTCCAGCACAACAACATTGAAGTAGACATATTTTAACTTACATCAAGAAGGGTTTCACTAGTGTTGTGATTGTAGTACACACCAAAACCACTTTGTTGTCTTCCCCTCCCTCCTCCTCTAGTAGATCTACCCTGCCTTGCACCTCTTCTTCTCGGATTAGCTCTTGGTATTTCTTCAGTAGGTGTGTTTTTATTAGTACAAGAAGACTTATTATGTCCTTCCCCTTTACAATTGGAACATTTCATAACCCTTCCCTTTCTTGTAAGCTGTGAACCAGATGAGGGTGCTTCAGATGCTTCCCGGATTCTCTTCTTCTTTGGGCGTCCACTCATCTTCTTTGGCACAGGAGGCAGAATATCTTCATGCTGAGTTCGTGGCCATAACAACTCTCCATTAATTGGTGGAAGAGTGTATGAATAAGTTCTCTGGTAGAATTCCTTAGAGTAGCAGTTGTCCACATATTGTTCCGGATTTTGGCCATTATAAAAAATGGCACATATGGCATGCGCACAAGGTATTCCGGACAAATTCCACCTCCTACAGGAACATGTTTTACCATTCAGACTGACCTTGAATTGTTGTTTTCCCTTTTTAATTTCATAGCCATCGTCCCCGTTGAAATCCACATTCCATCCTTGGCTAGCTAAAATGTTTTTGTTCAATTTATTCATAATCACAGGTCCAAATTGTCCTGCCAATGTTAATTATTGGACTGAAATTATGCCAACCAGAATATAAAGGGAATTAATTATCCATTACCAATTGAAGTAAATATTATACCTGACCACTTTTTGACATATTTCCTTTTTTTGGCAATCCTTTTTTCATCATTGCAACTCTAATGTCCTCTAGCATTGGAATAATAGGTTTTCCTCTGCATTTGAGAAGGGTGCTATTGAAGGCCTCTGATAAGTTGTTCTCAACAGTATCACATTTCACATCCGTTCTAAAATATGCCTTGCACCATAATTTGAAATCAATTTTGCGCAAGTCTTTACCAGCATCACTATCTGCCTTATCCAACTCCGCTAATGCAGCCTGCAATTGTTCCTCGCAAGTGGACTTTGCACACATCCAGAACAGGTTCTTTAGAAGCAAACCTCTGTGGGTTTTGCTCCAATTCGCATGAATGTGTCTAGCACAATTTCGGTGCTCAGCCTCTGGGAAAACCCTTGCAATCACATTACAAAGACCCTGCAGTGCCAAGATATATGTAATTAACAGTCATAACAGCTGATATTGTAAGCTTAAATCATTAAATGTATATATAATGTTACTTACCTTTTGTTGGTCACTTATGATAGTCCACAAATCTGACCTAGTGATTTGCAGATCAGTTTTCAGAAGCTCTAGAAACCAGGCCCATGACGAGTTGTTTTCAATCTCAACTACCGCCCATGCAATGGGGTACATTTGGTTATTGGCATCTCTACCTACTGCTGATAGTATCTCCCCTTTCAGTTGACCTTTAAGAAAGCACCCATCTAGTCCAACAACCTTCCTACAACCTTCAAGAAACCCTTTTTTAACCGGTCCGAAGCACACATATATGCGTTGAAATATAGAGGGAGAATCAGGAACTACTCTTGTAGTATGAATGACCATTGTACTGTCAGGAATAGACTGTAGGCATTCCTCTGCGTAGTTTCTGATTTTTTTGAATTGCTCTTTCCAATCTGTTTGGGTTTTCTTTTGAATAATCCTCAGAGCCCTGGTAGCCATACTGGTAGAAACGTGTATTTTGAGCTCAGCTTTAACCAGTTTCTTCAGCTCCAATGCAGTCATAGTAGGATCATCAACAACCTTATCCTCAAACTTTTCTGCAATCCATTTCTGACTAACTATCCCCAACTTATACTTCAAATTGCATTGATGTTCTTGGTTGAAAACCGACACTTGAAAGCACTTCAATCTCTCAACCCATGTACCAGTACAAGAAAAAGAACATGTACCACCACATTTCACCCGGACTCTGTGTGGCTCATTTTTGGCAAATTTTATATCTCTTTTCTCATGCACAACATATCTAACAAGAGCACTCTTGAATTGTGTACCATCTTCAAAATACATTCCCACCTGTATGTTAGGAGGCTCACAATCAGGATTATAAATACAAAAGTGTTCTCTAGGTTGGTCATGTATTTCTGGTTCACCATTGTAGCTTCTTGGATTCGATGAGTCATACTCAACACTGTCTTCCCCTTCTGAGGTGTCACTTTTAGTTTTGTATTCCTCCTCTGCATCATGTGATGTTAACCCTTCACTCGTTTGGTCAACATCTGCATGATCACCTATAACAGGTTCTTCATCATGTTGGGGTACAGGTTTACCATTGGCATTCGTAGTTGGCACAGGTAATAGAGGAATTTCAACTAATTCAGCCTCATCAAGACTGTGATGTACATAAATCTCACACTTCCCACACCTTGTACCCATATATATCAGATCTAGGGTTGTTGCATCATTGAACAATTCATGTAACATCTCCATTGGTTGTTCTGGTGTTTTGTAATACAACCCACAAATGTTCCCATATGATCCTGATTTTAGAGACTTCATCAGATGAGTATAGCTTATGAAATCAGGATCTACTTTAATGATGTCCACTTCACCACCTACGTACATCGTAGAAGGAGTACTAACAAAGTTCCCTCCATGGTGAATAATGAGCTCGACCCTGTCAAACATGCTGTACAAAACAACCAATGAATCACTTCAAGGAAAAAATCACTACTCAAATTACGGGGAAAATGTTTAAACACACACACTACCAATCAATTCCACTTAATCGTGTATACAAACAGAGTTGGACAAACAACGAATCCGACCAAGCAAATACATGTAAAAATGTGTGGGGTTGTATAAAAGTAGAGTTCGAATATTACCTGTGAGGTTGTACTAAATCCGACCACTCAAACAGATGTTGGTTGCGCTTCACTTCTGGTAAGGACCATTTCAATGGCGTCGTTCTTCTTCACTGAGAGCTGAATGGCGTCGCTGGCAACATTGAAACATTAGGGCTTAATTTGAAATGTTTAGGGTTTAGTTTTTTATTTTTTAATATACTCCCATTGCATCTTTAAAAATATTTGACATGTCAACTTACTCAGCCAACTAAAAAACTGCCACTTAGGCTGCCACATAAGCAGTGAACGGGGTTACCGGTTGGTAACCTTCCAAACGGCCTAATTGGTTGTTTTTTAGACTTCGTGGACTGAAATGAATGAATTTAGAGTAGGGGGGCTTAATTGACTTTCCGTACAAAGTAGAAGGGCTTATTTGACAGTTTTTCCAAGATAAAAAGTGTGTCCCGCTACCTGGTCAAAAAAACTAGAGACTATTTCATAAATATTACCAAAATAGAACTAATGAACATAAATATTACTATAGTTACTATGCATAGTCACTATATTGATAGATTGAACACAATCACGATTACTAAAATTACCATTGTAGTTACCAGGTCTTATTGTACTATAGGTTTTAATCAAGCTTATTTCTATCTCACACTATATCATACCAGTTTTAAACAACGAGACTTAATCAATAGTAAAATACAAACAAAATAGACATCTTTCAAATCACACCATACTAGATTACAAAATTTTAATCTAATTAAAAACATGTGATTTCTTATAAAGTTTTATCTTTATTATTGTCATTATTTCATAAAACTCTAAGTTATGTAGGACTTCATCGAAGACATAATAATTGTAGTAAGATATAGTAGTATAAATTAAACCACAAAGTTGTGATGGACCCAAATCTTTATAGTTAGACATGTTCTTGATATGGTTACTACACTTTCTTTGAAAAGTAGTGGTATTGATGATTTTCTTACTTAGTGTAAACAATGTTTGTCCAAAGTTTTAGGTCAAAGATATGACAAATGTTCTAATATGTAGAATGAACATAATAGATTGAAGACTTTTATCTTGAATAAAAGTCCATACATGAAAAAAATGTGTCAATTCACGATAAATTAGTTTCAAACCAACAAACTCTTTGATTTTTTTTTATCTATAATATGATAATGATAGATATATAGAATCATATTATTAAATAAAGTATTAAAGGATGAATTCATAAACATGATTTATACTTGGATTTTAACATGATAATATTATATTCCAGACAAGTACCAACAAATTTTGTGGCACAATGTGTAACATTCGACATGATTCTAGTTCAGATATGAAATCTTGATCATTTTATAGTATGAAAAATAATGAGAATTCTAATTTAAAATCAGAAACGGCGCAAAGATGAATCCTTTCTGATCGAAATTATATCTTTCTTTCAAAAAGCCATATATTTCCTGATAAGTTTAGAATTGTTTTGTAGTATATTGTTTAGAATTGTCTTAATAAGTTCAAAATTAGACTTATAATTCATATATGTTCATTGCTTGAAGTAGGCATATAATAATATATATTTTTTGATAAAATTAATAATTAGAACGCACTTGATAAAAAAAGACAAATGATGTACTCGATTTGACCCGAACCGAGTGCTCGCTTCAGAAAAGTTATGTGCCCATCATACTATGTGTCGATTTGCACTTATTTAAGTAGGGAGAAAGTATCCATCTACTATTGTCGTATATTTCAATAAAAAACATCATTGTCTCGGAAAGCAAATCATATCTTTTGTACCTTTCACCATAATTATCTGCGCAAGCAACCGGTAGCAACAACTAATACAATCCCTAGCCTCCAGCGTCTAACCGCCGCGAGACCTCCACAGATCGATGATTTCAAAAAGTTACCACCACCAAACTACGACCACGCCTCCTCCAATGTTGTGGGAAAAAGTAACTACAAATTAAATCACCGACACAACTACGTAGTCTAAAGTCGTCAATCAATATCAAATTTGTAAATTGTTGGCTAATTATCTCGGTATATTACTACCGTCCAAATGTGTATTTTTCTAGGAAGGATGACGGCCAACCCATCGGCCGGACGGTTAAATAATGTAAATTGAATTTTAATCACAAGTGAAAAGACAACGATTGCGACTCTGACACAGATACTAGCGAATGATCTATACATTTTAAACATAATAATTTTTTATCACAGTTACATTATTGATTTTCAAATTCAAGACTTACCCATTATGTCATCTCTATCTACCAGTTGGCCGGGTTACCCTATCTAGATCTATTATAACTAAGGACTAATCAAGTTTAATTGATTTGAGCAATAAAATAAATGAGATCCTGTCTCAAGAATAAAGAATTGGGCTTATTCATTTTGGGCTTAAATTGTATTGGACTGTTTATATTATTTTAGCCTGATAGCCCTTTAGTATAAATAGCCTAGATTAACCTACTGTAAACATACGATTCATTCTCCTTCTTCCTTATTCAACAGCTTCCGCATTCTTCCTTCAAGATATTCTGTAATTGCTTAAGTTTTCACATGGTATCCGATTAAGGTCTTGATCGATCCTCACCGATTCGCTCTTCCTTTCTCATCAATTCTTCGCAATCGATTTTATCTTCTTTCAATCGATTTCTATAATCGATTTCTTCTCAATCGATTTCTACAATCGTTTTCAAACCCTAACTGCTATGGCTCTACCGCTAAATTCGATGGACGACTCTTCATCACCGTATTACCTTCATCCAAGCGATCACGTTGGGCTTCGAGTCATCTACGAAACACTCACAGGAGACAATTTTGGTGCTTGGAAGAAGTCAGTTTCCATGGCTATGGCGGTGAAGAACAAGATGGGATTTCTCGACAGTTCAATTGCAAAACCGAGTCCAGATAATTCTATGTACTCTACCTGGTATCGTATCAACGCTCTCTTTTTATCTTGGCTGATTTATTCTATCTCACCTACTCCTCGCACTACTTTCCTATCTTTTACTGATGCTAAGGAACTTTGGGATGAGGTTCAACTTAGGTATGATAAAAGTGATGGTCCTAGACTTTTTCAACTTGAAAAAACCCTAGGAAATCTTTCTCAAGGTTCTCGTAGTATAACCGATTACTACAATTCTTTCAAAGAACTTTGGGATGAATACTGTAATTTCAGAATTATTCCTTCTTGCACTTGTGGTCACTGCACTTGCAATATATCTGAAACCTATCAAAAGATAATCCAGAAAGAGTCTATTCTCAAGTTTCTTGTTGGTTTGAATGATTCTTATTCTAATCTGAGAAGCCAAATTCTTCTTAACACTGAAAAAACTACTTTGTCTAGTATCTACTCTATCCTTATGCAAGAAGAGTCTCAAAGATCTCTTTAGAATTCTCTTCCTTTCACTACTTCTTTTTCAGAACCTTCTGCTTCTGAAAAACTTAACACTGATGTTACTGCTTTCTTTGTCAAAAATTTAAAAAAGAAAAGTTCTGTTACTTGTACTCACTGTGGTTATCAAGGCCACTCATCTGAAAAGGGTTTCCAACTCATTGGTTATCCTAGTAACCCGAAAGGGCCAAAAGGACAGAGAATTGCTCCTGGTTTTAAACCAAATTCCAATCTAAATAAAAATCATCATGCTCATTTGGCTACTAATTCCACTGAACCTGTTATAACTCCTACCAATTCAAACAACAATCATCATGCTCATTTGGCTACAAATTACACTGAATCTGCTCCAACTTCTATCGATTCCATTTCTGCTACCACTGATTTCTGTGATCCCAATCTATATGAGAAGTTTCTGCAATTTGTTCAAGCTCAAAAACCTAAAACTGCTTCAGCTAATGTTGTCACCATTGCTCCTGATGATGATTAAACTGATTCTCACTATGCCACAAAGTTTTTAGGTAAACACTTTGCTCTTTCAACTTTTAAATCATCTCAATGGATTCTTGACACTGGAGCATCTGACCATATGGTTTATGATGCTTCACTATACACCACTCCAACTAAACACATTTCAATTAATATTCAACTTCCTACTGGTAATTTTATTTCTGCCACTAAAATTGGTGATATCAAATTGAATTCTCATCTTACATTACACAATGTTTTATATGTTCCTAATTTCACTTTTAATCTCATTTCTATTTCTAGTTTAACTTCTCGTGATAATATCTCAGTCTATTTCTCTTCTAACCATTCTATATTGCAGGACCACCTTATCAGCAAAACGATTGGCTTTGCTGATTTAAGGAATGGCCTATATCACTATAATCCAGACTCATAATTAACTCATCGTATTCCTACTGTGCATTCTGCAAATAGTCAACATACTACTTCTTCACTCTTTGGCATTAGAGACTAGGGCATCCGCCTTTTAATAAAATTTACATGCTTTCTGATTGTAATGTTTCTGATAATGACAAACAGTCTTTACCTTGTGATATTGCCATTTTGCTAAACAAAAAAAGCTTCCTTTTTCTATCAGTATTTCTCATGCTTCTAATGCTTTTGATTTGATACATATGGATGTTTGGGGTCCTTATAAAGTTACTTCTTACACTGGTTTTAAATATTTTTTAACTATAGTTGATGATTACACTAGATGTACTTGGGTTTTTCTACTTAAAACTAAATC